TTTTTTGATCACAGAGAATCTGCTGCACATAAAGCAGCATTAAAAATAGTTGCTGAAAACGAAAAAATGACTCTTGAGAATGTTTTTTAACGTCATTATCTCACGAAAAAATAACTGCAAATTTTTTTTGAACTGCATATAAAATAGCAAAGGGAAATCAATCATTCCATCATTTTGAAAGTGAAATTGATCTGCAAGAACAGAACGGAGTTGAAATGGGTTGTATTCTTCATTCTACAAATGCGTGTATTAAAGTTAATCATGTAAGTGAAGAAATGAGGAAAGCTGTGGTTAAAGAAATTGTTCAATTCAATAATAAAACTTCATTGATAATTGATGAATCAATCACAATAAGCAAAAAAACCTACTCTCATAGTATATGTTTGATGCTGTATCAAAGGTGTTAGAATGAATTCGCCAGTAAATTTGTTTTTGGACTTGGTAGAACTTGAAAAAGTAACAGCAGAAGGAGTATTTGATTCCTTAACTCCAATGTCTTCACTCTTATGGAATGTCAGAAGATTATTTAAAAATATATTTGGTTTCTCTGGCATGCGACCGCGCTGCTGTGATGATAGGATGTAAAAGCGGAGTGAAAAATTTGCTGTCAGAACGTTTTCCTTCTATTATAGTTTGGCACAGTGCTAATCACAGACTAGAATTATCAGTAGGTGATGCTGCCAAGGAAACTTCAGGAATAAATAGATTCAAATCATTTATTGATAAACTTTACGTCATATACCATGCTTTGGCAAAGAATAGTAGAGAGTTGTATTTATGTGCAGAATAACTGGGGGCCAAGCTGCTGAAAATTGGAAGAATTTTAAGTACCCGATGGGTGTCTCTAGTTTGCATACAGTTTTGGCTGTGTGGAATAATTTTAAATCCCTTGTGTATCATTTTGAAGAAGTAATGCATGATCCTACGAGGGATAAAAATGATAAATGCACTTATAATGGCTTGAAAAGAAAAATAACATCTACAGAATTTTTATTAGACCTAGGATTGATGTATGACGCTCTCCAAGAATTATCAGAATTAAGTTTGGACCTACAGGACAGCAACATGGACCTGTACAAGGCAAATAAGAAAATAAAAATACTGGTACAATTTTTTGAAGAAAGAAGACAGAACTTTGGGGCCTATTATAAATGCGCTGTTGCTGCTGTACATGATCTTTGCTTTCATGAAGTTTTACTTCATGGAAAACATTCAAGAAAGGATCCTCCCATTGACCCAAGTATATTTTATACAATATTGAAATAATTGAAAAAAGATGTCTTGATAGCAAAGACGATGAGTTGGCATATTGGTCTCGCGTACTTGATCAAAAACATTGGCCTGAAGATGTTAATACTTAACTGACATTTGGAGAAGTGGAAATTAGAAACTTGTCAATCAGACTACAACTAAATGAAAGAGAAATGATTCGTGGATTCTGTGAATACATTCTTGAAAAGACATAACCAGAAAATCTGTTGCATTTGATACGGACTCTGAATACTATTCAAGTGAATGTGAACGTGGGTTTTCGCAGATGAATCTAATTGCCACCCCAACAAGAGCTTCATTAAAGATTAAGACACTTTCAGCAGTTTTGTTCATCAAAGTTGTCGGACTGCCTCTGTGGTTACTCAGAGGATGACATTCGGCCATAGATATTAACAGCAAGGAAAGGAGTCGAGAAGATTTGCTGGATGAGAATTGGACAAAACTTTGCAATTTAGTATGAACATTTGCCTTAAATACAATAAATTTATGTTAAGAACTGAATACACACACACACACACACACACACACTGTATATATAAATATATAAATAAAACATTAAGAAGATGTGAGTTCCGGCACCTTTTTTTTTTTTTTACAAAAACACTGGAAATATTCATATTAAAATTTTCATTGACTATCTTAATACTTCCTCTATGGAATAAATATTACTTTGAAACTGTAGGCATCAGTTATTTGGTTCATTCTCTAAATCATATTGTCTTTTTTAATTTCAGCTAGAGTGCTGCATAAAATAGCGTATTTCAATTTCACATTCTGCTAGTTCTTTTCATTATGTTTGGAGATAAATAAAAGAACTCATCCCTAAAATATTCTGCTGAGGAGCAGATATATATAATCCTTCTCTGTGTACAATATGCCTTATCTATTTGCTGCTTAATTTTTAATTGGATTTCAAAAAATGCAGATTATTGTGCCTTGGAGAGGAAATAGAGCAGAGGAATGCATATTAGTCTCAGCTCCTGCATATATGATCTTTAAATTATTCCTTATCAGGAGTAAACTCAATAAACTTCCTTCAAATTCTGTTAATCTATGTGCTGAGAGATCTTTCACGACATTAAATCTCTCCATATTATTCTGTTATATAGTAAATATGTAATTAATAAACTTTTAAAACGGGTCAAACTCAATTTCACTGAGGGCCGCATCAGCATTGTGGTTGCCCTCGTGGGCCAGGTTGGTGTGGCCAGGGTGGGTGCGGCCTACTAGGTGGGTGTGGTCAGAATGGGTGTGACCTATTGGGTGGGCGTGGCCAGCTCTACATTGTTCGGGTCAAGGGGGCCTGGGCAGGAGTGGGACAGATCTGAGGGTCTCTGGCAGAAGGGGGTGGGACCAGGGCAAGTGCCAATGCATGGTCCACTGGAAGAGCCTCACCATTCCTCTCAGGCCATGCGGGGGGCTGGATGGTGGTGTGGGCTGCCTGGAGCCCTGGGCAGCAGAGGTCAAATGCCCAGCCTGGCCCTCTAGCACCAGTGGCACCAAGCCCAGCCCCACTTCCTCAAGGGGGTGCCCAGCTACACTTACCTCCTAAAGGCTGCTGCTGCTGTGCTTGTTCTCCTTAGCCAGGTTGCTCATGATGGGTACGAGGGTAAAGTCAGAGGGAGGCCCATTCCCTCTCCATGGAGGAGACCCGGCTTTGTATCCAAGCTTCCTTAGCAATAGGATGGGAGACCCCCAGGATAGGCCAGGAGGAGGGGGCAAGGGGATGGTGAAAAGGCAGCAGGGCAGGACTAAAGCAGGACTTCCCTCAGACCCTCCCTCTCCTTCTTTCCTTCTTTCCTTCCTAAGTACAGAGTGGTGGGAAAATATTTGAGATGAGGGAGGGAGAAAAACAGGCAAGAAACACAGCTGGGGAGGTGTTACCCTTCGTGAGGAATGAAGAAATGCACCATCACCTGGAAGTGGCCAGCACATGTCCCTCACCTTCTTCACATATCTGAGTGGTGGGCTCTGGGGGAGCCCACCACTCATACCTTGAGCAGCGTTAGAGTCAACATTACCTACGCAATGCTGCTCAGTCCGCAGCCTGCCCAGTTTCGGCAGGCAGCGGGGCGCTCTCCAAGAAGAGCCGGCGGTGCGAAGCTCGCCAGCTTTCCACCTTGCTGCCTGCTGAAACTGGGCAGGCTGAGGGCTAGGCAGCATTGCACTTCTCATCAGTTTCGTGCCACCCGGCTCAGCTCTTAGCGCTGTGAGGAGAGTGCCCCGCTGCCTGCCAAAACCCTTCTGCCGGAACCCATCAAGTGAAGTAGGCGAGGGCCATTTGCTGGCTACTTCCAGGTGCATTTCTTCATTCCTCTGAAAGGGTGACACCTCCCCAGCATGCACCCAGGGGCTGGGGTCGATGCGTCATGGGCTGTTTCCTCACTGTTTCCAGATGGCCTTGCGGAGCTAAGATTGAATGTGTTTCAGCATAGATGTCCATCACAAAATTGTACATTGCTCCCAGCTGGCTTGGGCCAGCGCCGTTCCCTCACTGTTTCCAGGATGGCTTCGCGGGCCACATGAAACCATTTCGCGGTCTGCATCTGGCCCCCAGGCCTTGTGTTTGACATGTCTGTTTTAAAAGAAACTTATTTAATCCAATTGTAGGCATTAAGAGCTTCTTTAACTATTTTATGCTTATCAGTTTCATTAGATAAAAAGATTTAATTTTGTAAATATTACTTTTCAATAGCTATCATAACTAATATTTCTAGAAATATACATTTTACTAAGCTCTAGAATTCTTAGTCTCTTATTTAAGTTCCTAATTTTTTAGTTGAATTTTCTGAATGCATGCCTATCATATTTATTGCTCTTATATCCAGGAATTTTGCCTTGGTTTTGTACCTATATTGCATCACAATATTTGCCTCAAATTCATTTGAGTTATATGCCATTGAATTTAAGCAAACTTTGGTGGTTGTAAACCATAATCATAACAATTCAATAAAATAGAAAGGGTAATAATTGAAATACAAACAATGGTATAAATAAACTACATAGTACAATAAGAAGATATACAAAATCAGGAAGTTGGTGTCCCATTAGTCTTTAGAACAGCGGTTCTCAACCTGTGGGTCGCAACCCCATTTGGGGTCGAACGACCATTTCACGGGGGTCGCCAAACAACTCAAGTCTGCCATTTTTTCTCCTTTTCCTTAGCTGTGCTACTCCCTTTTATTCTATTGGCTTTTGAAAGCCAATAGAATTAGACTCTCTTGAATAGAGTCTAATTCTATTGGCTTTCAAAAGCCAATAGGAATTGTCCAGGCTGTCTCTGCCCTGCTGAGCTTGCCAAAAGTCCCATTCTGCAAACGGTGCTGCAAGTTGTCTGCAGCGAAGGCGAGCTGTCTAGAAGTTTCCACCCCTCCCTGCTGAGCAACTACTAAAAATGTAAGTAAAAGAGGGCCAGAGGTGGGAGGCCGGCGGGCGCAGGGAGGGTTGCTGGCGCGTATGGGGCCCGGCGGGTGCCTTACCTCCCTTGGGCTGGGCCAGCTGGTGGCCCAGCCGGTGGTTGGCCTGCTCCGTCTCTGCCGCTTGCCAGCTACACCTCGGCCGGTGCAGGGGGCGGCACCACACATGCGCGGTGCTCCCGGGCATGGAAAGTCCTCGACTTACGACCGGTTGGGTAGTCCTCAACGTATGACCGGTTGGGTAGTCCTCGACTTACGACCGGTTGGGTAGTCCTCGACTTACGACCGGTTGGGGGTCGCGGCATTAAAAAGGTTGAGAACCACTGCTTTAGAAGAAATGTCTACTATTTTAAGCTCACAGCCATAACACTCAAATCAAAATATATCCCTCAACCTGAAAAAAAAAATGCTTTAAGTGGATGGGGTTTAAGTAAGAATCTAAATCAGTGATGGCGAACCTTTTAGAGACCGAGTGGCCAAACTGCAACCCAAAACCCACTTATGCATCGTTGAGTGCTGGGTGAGTGTGGCCCATTGGCTGGGTGTGGCACATTGGCTCAATTTCAACTTTGCAAGATCTTTTTTTTTTCTCGCAAGATGTTGAAATTGACTGATTGAACCTTTTTTTTTTTTTTTTGCACATGGCGGCAGAGACCTAAAGTGAAAAGGTTTTATAAAACCCAGCTGAAGGCCTAGGACTGGGGCGACAGCGTGCGTGCCCACAGAGAGGGGTCTGAGTGCCGCCTCTGGCACCCGTGCCATAGGTTCGCTACCACTGATTTAAATAATACCCTGTTTTTTTCAGCAGCTATACTTTTTGAAGTGTAAGATGTTAAAATATGCTTCAAAATTAATGAGAAATTAACAACCATTGGCAATATTTTAAAGTGATCACAACTTCTGGTTAAACGTAATATGCCCTTTACCTTTTACCTATTTACAGATGTTTTATAGAGTTTTATACTAAAATGTACTGATTGAGAAGTCCTGAGGAACAGAATATTAGGCTCCAGATTTTACCTTCTAGCAAAGGATAATGTGACGGTCAGAACTCACAAACATATGTGTGTTGACTTTTCTGCATAGTGAAAGCTTTGGCTGCCTCACATTCTTTTCACATGGAGTCACCTGCTTGGGTACAACAGCCTTCTAAAAGTTGGGTTTGGTAGAACGATCCGCTTGAATCTCTCTAATGCATTAGGATGCAATCTAGCCATTGGAAAAGTGAATGTACTATAGAAGCTGTATTTGGCTAGCATGCAGTTACTCAGGATTTTAAATTGAAAAGACGCCTTTTTCCATATTTTATCTTTTTGTAGGGTCGCGTAGGGAAAAAAAGAACTATAAGGTGACTTTTTCCCAGGAAGAACTGAGAAAGCGGTTGACACCCTTGCAGTACCATGTTACTCAGGAGAAAGGAACTGAAAGGTATGGCAAGGGGGTAGGTGGTAATCAAAAACAAGGGGATGCTCCTTCTGTTTCACTATGTTGTAATTTTCTCTCAAGTGGTTTCAAGTAATTCTGTTTTAGTTTATCCTGAATAAACTGAAAAGCCAAAAAATTGTAGCATGGGCACTAAGTTCAGCAATTTGATCATTGTAACTTGGTTATTGTGACTTTATGTTTATTGTCTGCTTTTACTTTACTACAACTAGCACAGGTCATTTTGTGCAACTAGCACAGATCATTTTTTGTTTTGGGGAAGGAGATTTGAATTATAATGGAAATAATGTTTAAGGCAATTTTTTTTTATTAAAAAAGTTTTATTAATTTTCCATTTTTACAAACCTTCATGTATTTAAGGAAGCAACATGGTGGTTGGGTAATACATAATCCAATAACACGCTTATCCATACATATATCAGTTTACATCATCAAAAATTTCCTCTTTGTTTCCCTTAGTCATTATACCAAATTCAAATTAGTAGGTTGCTAGTTATAACTTAATCATTTAAAACATTTATAAACAAATTTTAGATTATATATCTCCAAATCCTGTTTTTAACTTTTGTCTGGTTTCAATTAAAATATTCCAGTTGGCTTACTGTCCAATAATGTTTAAGTTTCAGATAGCCCACGGTTCCCTTAATTCATACAAAATAATATCATATTTAAAATACACTTATTATTTATTCCAGTAAATTCTTAATTTATTTCACCATCATATTCTAATTCTCATTTTAATATTGCTTACTCATAAAATAATCTTTATCCTCTAAATCCATCTTCTGTTTATAATTCAAAACAATTATTTAAGTAACTAATTTATTTCCCTTATAAATATAGAACCTAACTATTAAATCCAATAATATCTTTTAAAATATCCTTGGCTCATTACATAAAGTTTAAAGCTCTTCCCTTAGGTATCACACAAAGAAAACCATTTTTTTTTTAGTCTAACTCTGGCCTTCCTTTTATGCCAAGCCGACTTCCATAAAAAGGCTTTTAGATCCTCAAGTGGCTCTCCCTTCCTTCCTGGATATATCATTTGAAATAGGGGAGACCATCCAATCATCAGCCTATCAAGGAAGCCAGTCCCTTCACAGTCATTAAATTGTTGGCCAAATGGTTCTTCTTCTGGTTTCAGCTGGAGTAAATAAAAATTCATGTTCGATGTTGTAGTTGTTTTTGGATCATCTAGACTATCTAGAATCTCAGTGTATTGTCATAAATCCTCTGCAAGTTCCATTTTAGCATTGCTTTGTTCAGTTTCTGTTGCTGTTATAGTTGTAAAGTCTTTAAGTGAGGTCAAAATTTGAGTGTTAAAGTTCTGAGTAGATTGTTCCTGGCATTTTTAAAATCCACTTTGTTATTAGTTCCTTCTTCTGTTGCTTTTTGAAGTGTGGATTCCTCTAATGGGGTTAAAGCTGCGTTTTGTGGCTTTAAAGTAGCATGTAAGTCTTTCATTATAGAATTCATTAGCTCAGTAGCCTCTAGATTTTTTTCAAGTATAAGTTTGGCATAAGGCTGTGGGTGGTATTCCTCCATTTCTGTAATGTTTACAGTCCTTTAGTGGAGGCTATTTTTAGTAAGAGTCAATAACTGTCCACCTCCACTATAAAGAATTATTTTCACCACCAAGCTGTTTCAAATTCTTATCTTTTGGTTGCCATCAAGGACAAATTTTAGTCTCAGAGATCTCCCAGTCAGAAAAGATTTATTCCACTTGCTGTACCAGATTTCACCACTAGATGTCCCCAGTGACATACAAAATAGGGCTTTTTTCCAGTTCAGGAGAGGAAACAAAGAACATTCCCTGCCCCCCCCCCCCAGTTAACAAAAAAGTAAAGCAGTAAATTTTTGTCGAGATACAGAGCTTTTAAGGAGCCCAGTATCCAAATATTACAAGTCCAGGTAAGTGGTCATTTAATCTTGTTGTTCCTTTTGTGTATGTGTGTATATTTCTTGGCTTTAAATTCCTGGAGTGAACAAAAGCTGCGCAATTCAGCTGGGGGAAAGGGGTATTTCAAAAAGTTTTTACAGGAAAATAGTTGGGAAAGAGAAAAGTAAAAATAGGGTCTCACCCAACTCCTCCAGTTGCTTCTTCATGCTTAGATGGTGCTTTGAGCTTTCGGCTGGTTTGACTAAGTGAGCGGCCATGTTAATGGCCACTCTTTTCCTCTTCGGTCCTGAGAGTTACTGCAGATCAAATGGAGAGGCTCCCGCCCCTCCGCAATCCAGCAAGAGTCCCTCCCAACGGTGGTCACCTTTCCAGGGCAACTTTCGACCCTTTCCAGGGTCTTCCAAAGGAGAAAAACGGACAGCGGGGAGAGGGATCTCTCCGCATCTCCGCCAGTGTCGAAAACCAGAACTGGAAGCCTTTAAGGCAATATTTTTGAAGTGGTCATTGTAAATATCAAAGAGAAAAGAGAATGTGGTATAATTTCATTTTTTTCCTTTCTATTTTTTGTTAGTTTGTTTCTTTTCTTGGAAACTTTTGGGTAGAAAATATTAATTGGGTCATTAGGTAGCTTTTATATTCTGACAGAAGGTAAGGTGAAATAAAAAAAGATGGTTCTTTTTCAAGGATAATAATGAATATAGTTTATAATAAATATAGTTTATTCTATTTGATTCATGAAAAATAGATAGCTCTGCTAAGTTACTTTTGAATCCTTTTGATTCAATAAGCTTAATAATATGCTTAAATATTCAATTCACAATTCATAATATTCTATTTTTAATTAGACTTGCTGAATGGAGATCTCTGGGTGCTAAAGCTCCCTATAGCTCTAGACATGGACTGCTGATTATGCACTTTCACCAGTGAGTTTAGACTGTATTCCTGCCCAATCAGATCAAGTCAGCCAAAGTTGCCACGCCCGTCCTGGACCATAGAGATCCCAGTCTTGACTTGATCTTGCCCAGGACAGACATGCAGGTTTGGCTCCTAGGCAGGTACAGTGTCCATTGGTGGATTTTCTTTTCCCCAGTAGCTGTGCAGGGTTGTAGTGAGCTAAATTTGATTTTATTCCCATTTTAAAAATTGATTGCCATTACCAATTTTCCACTCCTCTCCCATTCAGGAACTTGGAGTTAACTCCTAAGTCCCTCTGATTGGGGGCTATACACCAGTTCTTGTTAAGGAAGGGGCTCCTTCCTCCCTTTCCCCCCCACCCAAAACTTATCAACTCGCTGGATAGATGGGGACTAACGGCTGTTAGCCCCAACCAGCTGAAAAGATCAAAAACTTCCATCGGAGCTTGCGGCTGCGGCTCCGGTGACCGTTTTTACGGAGGAGGCTCACAGGCCTAAAATACCTCCCACAGACACTAGAGCACCTTCTCGGCTCATTCGGGGTCCGTTGGAACTCCGCGGGCTGATCCAGGTCAGCTGTGCATTTTCGGCTCATTGTTCACGTCGGTTTAACGATCGCCGTTTTTTCGGTCCGGGAAGGGGGTGCGCATGCACGAGAGCAGCGCCGATCAGCTACACTGCGGCTATTCATTGGGACCTATCTGGCGGTTTTTCCAGCCTCTCTTCCACACAAGCCGCGCTACCTTCCCAGAAACGATTTTCGGTTGGCCTTGCCTCTAGGAGTCAGTCTTCACGTGCGGCTGCCATTTTGGGACTGCGTGCTCTAAGTGGGCCTTTCGAATTCAGGGACTAAAGAGGAAGGGGATCCTTCCTCTTCTTCACTGAGACCGTTATTTAGAGCGAGGGCTCTCGCTGGGAGGGTGTTTAAAAGAACAAGCACGACCAGAGCAGATTTACTGCAGATTAGCAGGCCGCCATTTTATAGGTGGCCGCCATTTTGTATACAAGGTAGGCCCATTCGAACTGAGGCCTGCGCTCAGGGAAAGGGCCTAGAGGCTCCCCTAGAGAGCAATCTCTCCTTGTCACCAATCCCTCAGGCCTCTAATTCCATTTGCAATCTGATTGGATTGTTGGCAAAAACATCCAGGTTTTTCCTGGGTTCCCTCTTCAGGTTCTGGTGTCTCCTGTTTCCCACATTGTCAACATTCACACAATTTGGCTCCATCCGGATTCCAGGCACCCCTTGTAGTGTGTCTCTCCTTATCTGTGTAACAACTAGAGTTGGATTCCAGGCGCCCCCAGTAGTGTGCCTGTCCTTATCCGTGCACAGCCATAGTTGGGTTCCAGGCGTCCCCAGTCGTGCGCCTTTCCTTATCCATGCAGAGGCTGTACCTGGGGTCCAGACATCCCCTGTAGTACGCCTGTCCTTACCCAGCATGAAATACCCTCCAGATACCAGCCCCCCCCCCCATCGTGTTCCTGTGCTATCGGAGAATGGAGGAATCTACTCTTTCCTCGAAGGGAGCCTTGCCATCCTCATCGGGTCCACCTGGTCCAGAAGGCATTGATAAAACAGTTGCCACCAAGGTCAGATCTACCACCAAATCTTCCAAAAGAACAAACAGGCCAACAGGAGACACCAAGCCTTAGAAAAGGAGTTCTCCAAGGTGCAGAAAAGAGCCAGGTTGGAGACACCTCAGACCGGAGGGTTAGCCTTTGACTTACCCCTGGGGGCTCCAACCTCCCCTCTGGTGATCTGGTCTACGGGGGAATCCTTACATTCCCCTGTGCAGTACGGGATAGGTGAATTTCCTTCCGTTTCCCAATCCTCTGCTGCATGGGTGCCTCAGGGGGCTCCCAAGGCCACATTCACCCCTACTGTGGCAGGGCTCTGCCCTAGCGAGCCAGTCCCCTTCCCTATGGAGGATCGCCTAGCCTTACTGATCGCACAAGCAGTAGACCAAGCCCTTGATGCTAGGGCTCAGGCTTCCAGACCAGTGACTACCGTTCCCCGTCCTATCCAACAACCGGGGACTGAGGCCTATTACAATCCCTCCTCTCCATCTGGGTCATCAGTTTCTGAGGATTCATACCTCAACCAACCTGCCACAGAACAGGAGGTTCAAATGTCTGAAGAGGAGGAAATTCCTCCAGAGGCTCCTTCATTCAGT